GGTTTAGGCGTTTAGGGGTAGGGTTTGGGGTTTAGGGTTTAGGGGTTTAGGGGTTTAGGGGTTTAGGGGTTTAGGGGTTTAGGGGTTTAGGGGTTTGGGCTTAGGGTTTAGGGTATAGGCTTTAGGGTTGTCATTGCTTCTAACTTCTGACGCCTCTTGCCTGTCACCCTGCTTAGAAGCGTTGCATGATCATCCCATCACACCGAAGAACGGCACAGAACAGCAAGCCTGCAGTCTCAAGGCACTGCAAATATTTCTGGTGTCGAGGATATAGAGCTGCTGTGCATGGCTTCAAAGCCCGGTCACTGTAGATTTCAATGCCTAGGGTGTAAATGGAAACCATAAACCCTAGCCTAAACCAACCAAAACGCCCTAACCCAACGCCGCAAGAAGTAAACCAGCAAACCTCAACCTCCATAGAACGCCTGCGAGGAGAAACGTAAAGGTACTTTGCAATCCCGGAAGGTCCAAAGATACTACCATAATGGAATGAGGCGCCAGAAGACAATTCTAATCATGGCCTTAGGAGACCTAATGCCATGATAGTAGTATCTTTGGACCCTCTTTGTACCTGCAGGCTCATACCCTACCACTTTTTTTACGGTACCTGCTTTTCTATATAACAGATCCTAACTATAAAACTAGGTACCCTAAAGAAGGTGTAGGGTATGCCCCTCCAAGTAAGATCTGGGCCTCCTAACCCCTAAACCCTAAACCCTTAACCCTCAAACCGATGCTGACAGGCGGCCAATGCACCGATAGCTTCCTCTGGCACCGCATTGGGATCCTGCTGAGAGGTCCAGGTGACTTAGTAAGTAGGTTATTTGTAGAGTTCGAAGTACCCTGAATGGAGTTACCCGAATCATAACCTAAAACCCTAAACCCTAAACCCTAAACCCTAAACCCTGAACCCTAAACCCTAAACCCTAAAACTCTAAACCCTATTTATAACCGACTTACTAAGTCCACTGGGCCTTTAAGTAAACCCTAAACCCTCAACGTATCTTCGGCAGATGTGCGGTTCAAGGCTTTGCTATCTTGGGGTCCGGTATTTCCTTCCGGGCCTTCGTGCCGGGATATAGTTTAAAGTGTGGGGTTTCGGGTTTCTTTTTTTTAAGTGTAGTGGGTTTAGGGTTTAGGGCTTAAGGTTTGGGGTTTAGGGTTTAGGGTTTAGGGTTTAAGGCTTGGGGTTTAGGGGTGCCAATCTTGGTACCTTTCGGGTACGCACCGAGGGGACATCATGCCCACAAGTTGCCGATTCGACAATCAGGGCGACGAAGTAAGAAAGGGAAAGCCACCCAGGCTACCAGAGAGCAGTTCTAAATAGAAAAAGCGCTGAGGCTATCTAGCACAAACGTAGAAATTAACAATAACAAAGAAGAACAGAGACAGAGGTTGAACAAGACAAGAAACAGTTGAGAGACTATAGCCAAACTTTCTCAGAGGAAAAAACGAAAAGACTGACTCTCAACAATGTTCTCGAAACCCTGAACCCTGCAGCCTACAGCTTCTAGCTTAAACCCTAAACCCGAAACCCGAAACCCCAAGCCCTAAACCCTAAATCCTAAACCCTAAACCCTGAACCCTAAACCCCCAAAACAGCAGAGACAGACCCAAAAACCAGGCGTCCTCGCCAGGCGCTGCCAAGACCGTTGCCTGGGCTCCGGGGGTTCGGTGGAGCCTGATACACAGCCCGTTAAGGTTTAGGGCTTTGCGTTTTGGGGTTTTGGGGTTTAGGGTTTAGGGTTTAGGGCTTAGGCTTTAGGCTTTAGGGTTTTAGGGCTTTGGGTTTTGGGGTTTAAGGTTTAGAGTTTAGTTAGGGCTTAGGCCTCAGGGGCTTAGGGTTTAATATAGGGGCCTTAATGATTAGATCCTTAAATAGAACCTTAAAGGGTTCTATAAGGATCTATAATAGGGTTCTACAGTAGGGGCCTTCATAATTAGAATAAGGCCCATTATACTATAATTATCATAAGGAACCCCCAAAATAGTACTGGTAATTTTTTAGGCACCTACATTAAGGTTCAGGGGTTTAGGGTTCAGGGGTGTCGGGTTTAGGGCTTTAGGGCTTTAGGGCTTTAGGGGTTTAGGTTTAGGGTTTACTGGTTTAGGGGTTTAGGGGTTTAGGGTTTAGGGCTTTAGGGCTTCAGGGTTTAAGGCTTTGGGGTTTAGGGGTTTAGGGTTTAGGGCTTTAAGTCTAAGGGTTTAGGGTTTTAGGGAGGACCTACAGTTGATGATATAAATCCTGCATTACCCAGAATAAGGAACATACCATAATTCCCATAGTTTAGGGTCCTTAGGTCGTGATGCAGGATTTATATCATCAACAGTAGCGCCTCAGGGCTTTGGGTTTAGGGTTCAGGGGTTTAGGGTTTAGGGTTTAGGGCTTTAAGGCTTTAGGGGTTTAGGGTTTTACGGTTTAGGATTGCGGAAGATGCAGTGCCCTTGAAGGTGCACGCATCATGTCCGCAAAGGTGTCTGAAGTGAAGGGCCTGCACACTGGCATGGGCGGTCATAGTGACCAGCTGTAAGGTCGTCCACAAGGGTTTAGGGCTTGATCGGGATGAAAAACAAGGAGCATCATGATGATCATGGAAGCTAAGGTTAATGTTGCAGGGGTCAACAGAAGAAGAAGAGTGATGAAGATAGCATCTAACCTTCCTCCTCCGTCTCCTCGTGCGCGTACTCTAGCTCACTCATACCTTCACTACAACCCCACGACTCCCTAAACCCTAAAGCGAAAAAAAGCTTAAACTTACAGTAAAACCTTATAGAAACCTTGTATGAATCCCTTCCCAACAGACCCTAAACCCACACCCGAAACCCCAAACCAACTTAAATCCTATCCTATCCTTAAGCCCGAAAATCCTAGAAGCTAGCTTATGCCCCTTCAGAAGGACCCTAAAACCTAAACCCTAAAGCCTAATCCCTAAAACCCTAATCGCGCCGAAGGGCCAGCCAGACTTTGGGCAGCAAGTAGACTAGCGCGCGGGCCATCAGGGCCCCTGCCGCCAGGGGTTGTGGGGTTTGGGTTGAAGGTTTAGGAAGTTTGGGGTTTAAAGGGTTTAGCATTTAGTTTTAGACGGGTTTTTGCCGAAAGGCTTTTTGGCGTCCGGGGGAACTTCGGTTGATGATATCAATCCTACATTACCCATAATCGGGCATATACCATAATTCCCATAGTTCAGGGTCCTAAACCCTAAACCCTAAACCCTAAACCCTAAACCCTAAACCCTAAGCCCTAACGCAGGATTTATATCATCAACCGTTGCACAGGGTTTGAACCGATGCTTCAGCTTTTGGGGTGTGCGGAATTTGGGGGACTTGCGGTTTAGGGCTCAAGGGTTTAGGCTTTAGGGGTTTCGGGTTTAGGGTTTAGGGTTTAAGGTTTAGGGTTTAGGCTGTAAGGGGTTTAGGGTTTAGGGTTTAGGGTTTAGGGTTTAAGGTTTAGGGTTTAGGCTTTAGGGGTTTAGGGTTTAGGGCTTTAGGGCTCAAGGGTTTAGGGTTTAGGGTTTAGGGTTGGGCTTCTTGAAATGAGGTGACCCCCCTTTTAGCCCGGGCCCCCAGATGTCCCACAGGCTCCCACTGTGGAAGGCGATTTTGGGCTCCCTTGCTTTTAAGCTTTGGGGTTTAGGGGTTTAGGGTTTAGGGTTTAGGGTTCAGGGTTTAGGGTTTAGGTATATGTTGGCTGAAGGTTTCCGGTGTTGGGGTTTGGTTTTGGGTGTAAGGCTGGGGATGTTGGTTTACACTTCCGAGGAACGGGAACTATATCGTAACATCTGGTACTTCGGTTTGGGGGTTGTTCAAGCCCATATGAAGTTGCCTATAGGGCATTTGTAAAAATACAAAGACTTTAAGAATACTCCTTACATGGTTCTAGCACTACGGGTCTCTTGCCCGAGCCGGAAACGACTAAGAAGCAAACTCATCTCTGCTGAACGGTTCGGGATTCAGGGCTTAGCGCTTACAGTTTAGAGCTTTACTGTTTAGGGTTTAGGGTTTAGGGAAGGCTTTAGGGTTTAGGGTTTCGGGTTTTAGGGTTTATAGAGCTATACTTTAGAAAGCAAAAGTTCATCGAGATTCGGGTCCAGGATAACTCAACTCGCGCCTTTACTAAACCCTAAACCGCCCCTTCGCAAACCTCTTCCCCAGCAACAGGCTCTACTTTTTCGGGCTGTAAATCTTCAGCCCAAACCCTAAACCCTAAACCCGAAACCCCAAACCCTGAGTCCTGGGCCAGGTTGATGCTAGCCTGTCGGATCTGTAGTCCCCCTTAATTAAGGGAAACTACAGGTGGGGAGTTTAGAGTATATGGGTAGTTGTCAAAAAATGGTCCCTTTTGGGGTACCCTAAATAATAGGTGCCGTATTATAATAAGGACCCAACAAGGGACCCTAATTTTGACAACCACCCATATAGGGCTTCTATAAGGCTTCCATGAGGTATATAGATAGACCTTCTATAAGGCTCCTATAATGGTAACTACCCACCTGAACATGTCCTAGACTTAAACCTAAACCCTAAACCCCAACCCCCTAAACCCTAAACCGTGTCTCTAAGGGACAGCCGAAACCGGAACAAAAAAAAAACTGGCCTCAAGGGACCTCGTTGGGTAATTACTATACGTGCGCCAAAACCCTGTTCTAGTTATTCAGGCCCTGAGCCCTACACCCAAAACATCCCAAAAACCTACTGAAATTTTGAAGGCCCCTGCATCCTAAACCCTAACGCGTAAACCGTAAACCCCTAAACCCTAAACCCTAAACCCTAAACCCTACACCGTAAACCGTAAACCCCCCTCAGCCGAGCCTAGGACCATCGTCGGCGCGATGACCCCAGTGGGCGTGGGGCACGACAGCGCGAGCAGCGTCAGCAGCAGCTTGATGAGCCTGAGGCGTTCCCAGAGTTTTGGGTTTAGGGGTCCAGGGTTTTGGGTTTAGGGGTCTAGGGTCTAGGGTTTAGGGGTTTAGGGTTTAGGGATTCAGGTTTCCATAATTACGGGATTTATAGGGATTTATAGGGGGCTTTTAAAGGGATAGGGTCCAAAGGACCCAATAATAAGGTACGTGGGTTTAGGATAGTAGTTATGTAAGTGAATAGCTGGAGAGTATATGATTATTAGGTGCTTGGGCGCTGAGGGAACGCCCTAATATAGAAGCCCAAATAATCACCAATATTGTTCCCCAGGGCTCCTTATTGATACTTCTGCTATAAAGGAGCGCAAAACCCGATCCTGAGTATGAGTCTCTTGGAGTTGACAGAGTTTACAGTTGGTTAGGGCCTGGGGTTCTAGGTCTGCGGGTGTAGGGTTTACCTTAAGAACCCAAAACCCACTTTTTTTGTAGGTTCTTATTAGACACCCTAATATGGGATTTATAGGGACCCTACAAAAAAGCAGGTTTAGGGTTCTTAAGGTAGGGTTCAGGGTTTTCTAGGTCTTGCCCCAGACCCTGAACCCAGCGAGTGAGACGGGGAGCGTAGCTGCGAGGAGCGTCAGGAATGGGCCCAACGGCTCGTTGACCCACGATGCGCTCCCATGAAAGCCTCGCCGAAGCCGTGGAGTTCAGGGTTTAGGGCTTAGGCGTTGGGGTTTAGGGCTTTGGGTTTAGGCGTTGGGGTTTTGGGTTTTAGGGTTTCGGTGTTGGACTTTGGATTTAGAATTTAGGCTTTAGGTTTTGGGGTTTAGGGTTAAGGTCACGGAGCTAACAGCACATCCCAAAAGTTCCCTGAACCTGGCTTTAATAAGGGCCTGGAGAGTTAGCAACAGTATCCCAACACAATCCCTGTACCGCTGTAATAGAATATCCACCAAGACCCCTTCTTAGACATGAAGTCCTCGGAATTAGCCTCCTGAAATCTCAAACCCAATCTGCCTGAGGGATGTTTAAAGCCCCCTAAACCGTAAACCGAACCTCTTTTGAACTCTAGCTGCCCCTAAACCCTCAACCTAAACCCCTATTCCAAGACTTCGGTTCGAGGGTTTCGTTTTGAGGCTCAGGTTTATCCACACAAGACCTGCGCCTGAGTATAGGCTATAGAGCTTATTTAGGGTAAGTTTAGGGTATAGAGCCCTTATAGGGTAAGCTTAGGGTATAGAGCCCTAAACCCTAAACCCTAAACCCTAAACCCTAAACCCCAAACCCTAAACCCTAAACCCTAAACCCTAAACCCTAAACCCTAAACCCTAAACCCTAGAGCCCTTAATATATGTTAAGCTTAGGGTATAGAGTTCGGGGCGCCCTTCGAAACCTCGGAGAAATTGAGGCGGCCTGGCCCCGAGTACATCGCCCTAAACCCTAGTTTAGGGTTTAGGGTTTAGGGTTTAGGGTTTAGGGTTTAGGGTTTAGGGTTTAGGGTTTAGGGTTTAGGGTTTAGGGTTTAGGGTTTAGGGATTAGGGTCACCCGAAGGCTCGGAAGGTCTTACAAAACTCACAGCCTTGAGGCTTAGGGTTTCGACGTTGGTGCTTCGAGTTGCTTTGAAGGTTAAGGAATGAAGGTGTAGGGCGCTAGTTTACGCCAGTGTAGGCTTTGGGATTTAGCATTTAGGGTGTAGGGTTTCGGGCTGGAGCCCCACAACCCAAAACCCTAAACCCCCAACCCCTGAACCCAAAACCCTACACCCAGCACCCCAAGCGCTACACCCAACACCCTAAACCCAAAAGCCCCAAGCCTAAATTCCCGACCCTGGCACCTTTGCTGAACAGCGCGTTCAGCAGGGCCGGCTGCTGTTGGCCGTGGAGCAAAGCCAGCGGCCAAGTGAGTCCAGAATTCCTTCTTGGAGGCCCAGAGGAAATCCTACCTCTTAGGGGTTTAGGGTCCTGTGAACCCTACTTGGAGGCCCAGGGGAATTAGTAAGTAGATTATAAGTACAGTTATAATTGTGGTGACTCCATTAAGGGTACTTGTAGCTCTGCTTAGTATAACCCTAAACCCTACACCGTAAACCCTAAACCCTAAACCTTCAACCCTAAAACCCTAAACCTTCAACCCTAAACCCTAAACCCTAGACCCACTTACTAAGTCCCCTGGGCCACGTAAGTTGCAGTAAGGGAGGGCTTGCGGGCGTAGGGCTCTTTTAGGGTTCCTTTAAAGGATCGATCCAAGTGCTGTGGGATTTAGGATTGAGGGTTCGGGTTTCGGGTTTACGGTTTAGGGTTTTGGGTTTCGGGCTGTTTTTTTCGTGCTTAGGGTTTAGCGTTTAGGGCTATCTGTTGCAGGTAGATGGGCCCTGGTCCTTGCGCAGCATTTCATCATATTTTCAAGGGGCTACAGGAGGGAGCCTTAAAGGGAATCTTGGGGTTTATAGGGGCTTTATGAGACCATAGAGGGGGGCATATAGGGTTTATATAGGGTATTAGGATTAGGGGTCCCTTCTAGGGGTCCCTCCTATTGTCCCTTAATATTAAAGAAGGTACCAAAATCGATCCGTCTGGTGTTTATGGGGGGGCCACGCAAAAGCTTAAGCTTGCAACCGCACTAAGCCTAAAACCAAAACACTAAGCCCCAAAAACGCCGAAACCCTCAACCCCAAAACGCCTAGACCCTAAACCTGAAACCCGAACCTCGAAACCCTCAGCGGTTTAGGGTTAAGGGTTTCCCTGACCGCAGTGCCCCTACACTCTGCAGAGGCTTGGATCCGAAAGTACAAGCACCATTTGGCCCGAAATAATGGGGTGGTTCTCTCAACTACTGCTGATGAAATAAATCCTGCATTAC